AGCAGTGTTGGCGCGAACGAGGGTGCCTTACACGAGAAATGCGAAGGTCGGGAGTTCGAGCCTCCCCAGGAGCAATGGATCTTTTTTTTYTTCTTCTTTTTCTTCAAATACCAAATTAAAATTGGTGATCCAAATTGCCGAGAAAATGATGCTCAAAAACAGTGGAGAATTATTTTTTTTCGGTAAATGTAAAAAAAATTCAAGTAAGGAATGACTTTCAGCACGCGTTTGATCAACTCTGGATCACATGACTTAATACGATATTGATTTGAGCCGCTGCTCGATGAATCGTGGACTCCAATGACATCCATGAAACCGCTGATCTATGGTATCATGTGGTTTGCCAATGAAATTACAGTTCGCATGAACGCCATCATTCTGAACAATTGTTAGAAATTTCATTCTTATTCTGGTCGAGTTCAACTATTTTTTTTATTCAACCTAAAATCAAAATAATACACTTTTGACYAAAATTCTTCCTAGTTCATTTATGAGACTCCCGAAGCTCAAATCTCATTCACAACCAAAATATTTACAAGTTCTCTAAAAGATGCTAAGGTAAAAACAACTTAGTAAAAACAACAAATAAGCCTTCCTACCAACATTACTCTCGAGCTGTGCCGCTGGGACGTACTGCTGTACCACTTTGGTAACCATGGGAACGTTRCAATTAGTTGCCTTGACAACAGCCATGTGGTAACCGACACCAAATTTATTCTTGAGAAAGAGCGAGCTACCGCARCACTTGATCTGACCCTCGGCCATGATGGCTATTCTATCACCCAGTAAATCAGCCTCGTCCATGAAGTGGGTTGTGAGGAGCATGGTGCGGCCTTGCCGTTGTTGCTGYAGAAGATCCCACGTAAATCTACGAGCTGACGGGTCCATTCCCGACGTCGGCTCGTCAAGCATTACAACCTGAGTTATACAGGCAAAAAAACAAAATTTATCATATTTGTAAGGGTTCCTGYTGTCATTGAGTTGCAGCTGTAGTTGTAGAATTCAGGGTTCGTACAGATTTTTTCATACAAAATTCAAGGACTTTTCAAGGACACCTAGGGTTAGGGTAAGGGTTATTACAAAGAGAAAGATACAGTTAGTAAACTTACTAAACATGTGTCTTACCAAACACAACAATAAGAACATTGCAGTCAACTTTGTTTAAAAACTTTCCCTTTTGGAGAGGATTTTCCTCCTATTCTTGACCGCCATAAATCACAATAGTCAGAAGTATACTTCTGCAATAGTACAACAGGTATCTCAAAAAGGATTGAATTCTTGTCATTTTGATTCAACGCTTGGCAAAATTAATCCCCAAAACATTTATGCCAACCAAGACTGATTCAAGGACTAAATTATCATTTTCAAGGATCTTCCAAGGAAAATTTACAATCAAGGACTTTTCAAGGACCTAGCTCAAAAATCAATGAATTTTTAAGACTGTACGAACCCTGATTGCTCCAAGACGACAATAAATATTCACAAACTCCTTTAAATCAYCCAACCTTTGAGCCTGCTATAAGCGCTATACCAACGGACAACTTTCTCTTCATTCCGCCCGATAGCGCTTTAGTTTGTACACATCGCTTGTCTTGAAGTCCGATACTCCGGATCATGTGATCGATCTCAGCCGATACTCTCTTCTTTGGGCAGCCTTTCATCATAGCGAAAAACCAAAGATGTTCTTCTACTGTTAGAAGATCGAATAATACGTCGTGTTGRGGGCAAAGACCTGTGGAGAGAGATTTTAAGATCTTTAATGGTAGAAACAGAAGCAAGTTTTCAACGAAGAAGCGCACTGCGATGTTGTTTTGTTTGTGCAGTCGCTGTTTTTTATTCATTTATTGTTCTTTACAAGGGCTCATCAAAAACTTTGTCAGAAGAATAGTCTGCAAAAAGCATTTTCATTCCCCGCSTCGTTTAGCTCTGCTATTTGCGGGACTGCGTCAAAATATCTAGACCAACACTCTTGAAAAGGGTTCTCTACCTAAAAATGCATTTCCGATTTTCTCATTTTGCACATGTCATATTTATTATATATTCAGTTTCTGCACATGGAACATTCTCAGTAAAATTTCCAATTGAATTTTAAAAATTCCTTGTCATTTTTTAACTAAAACGRCGCCTGACATYGAAAAGTGCAGAAGTCGCACGCCCCAATTGGAACATTGGGAATGACTTMTTACTTAGAAAACCCATAGTTAATACAGAGGTCTGTCATCTCTATTAACTATGGACAATCCTTTKCAAATCCGGGAGATATGTGCCTTTTGCTGTAAATCAAACTAAAGATGACAACATTTCATATGTKAGAAAATCGCGCAACGATTTTTGGAGACACGTGGGCCTTCAMTGYTCATTCGGAATTAAGTCGTTRTTGTTGTCTYAAYAAGAGAAATATTCAGTGACAGRSCRCTTTCTGWGTRCGTGCGGTTACCTAGGCTACTCCTGACACCAGTCATGTCATTAGTGATGTCGCAGTCATTCACAAACGCTGATCCAGAAGATGGCGGGAAAAGTCCAGTCAACATTGACATCAGTGTAGTCTTTCCCGCTCCATTATGACCAAGTAACACTGTAATTTGACCCTCGTACATGTTAAGACTGACTCGATCGACAGCAACTTTTTGACCTGAAAAAAGGGTAAAAAACTCTCGATTTAGGCTTTATGGTAGCTAGTTTTTTATTGTGCAAATTCCCGTGAGCTATTTGGCCTATTATAGCCTGCCATAGTAGGTCTCTGTTCTGTCAAMAACAGGACTTATGAAGCTTTTACGTCACCTACGTGACTTGCAATGCATTGTGGGTTTAGTTTCTGGTGAAATCCGCCATGTTTTTTACCAAACATATCCTACAATGCATTGCGTATACGGTATAGACCCCTTGCAGTTCATGGGAATGCAGCTCCAACTGGAGGACAAAACAATAGATTCTAGTTCCCAAGAGGATAAAAATCTTTTGTTTTGTCCTCCAGATGAAGCTGTTTTGACGTCACATGCAAGGGGTCTATATGACGTAAAAGCTTCAGAGGTTTATTCACACTGTGCTGTAAGTCGTATGCGCACACAGATCAAATAATGTAAGTGATGATTTTCGCAATTTTTAATTAAAACTGCTTATTGTCACGCTCTTGGATGCCATAAAATGGTCAAAACTCAAGTGAACACATGAGCTCACAGACTAAAAMGTGTGCGCAACTTGTTAAGTACTTGAAAATTACACAAAATGAAGTTCAACKTTCAACATTTTGTACATCAATCTTCAGATTGTTTTGAGCGATTTTGCCCTCTTTGGTACACTAGCTGTGACGTCATAATGAAATGGGGTAAATGCTGGCTCATCCATCAATACTTTTAGGTTCAACATGCCTTATCCATGAAACGGTCACATGGTACTAAATCCGCCATATTGGATGGCAAAAGAATGTAAACAACCTCAAAAACAAAAGAAACGCAAGCTGTCAATCTTGACTTTTCTTTGTTTTGAACATCCCAGTGGGTATTTTGCAATCACTTCAATTTATAAAATGAGTGAATCAAGTAGCCTTACTTATTGCGCATGCTCTCCAATCATTTTTGAACTAATCCCACATGGTGTAGCGATATTTCATTATTACCTTTATCTGTAGAGAATGACTTGCTTATGTTCTTGACTTTGACACCAGCATGTAAAGCTGCTGGCTCTTTCTCATGGAACTCTGTTGTAATTGTGCCATTTTGAAGCAGCTTGTCTGCATCAACCTGAAAATATGTATTCATTAGTTAGCAGTTATAACTGAACCAACATCAAAAGCTTCATTACTTTTTTCTGTGTAATAACAACTCTTTTATTACAAAAAAGGACATGGTTAAGTGCTTGTTTTCTCTTTCCTGATTCTCAAATGATTGCTGGATAACGCATCACATCACATGGGGTTTAAGCATTTTGTTTTCTCCCTAGATTGGAGTGTTTTTCTTCATCAAGAGCTCACATTTTTCACTGTGATAAAACTTTATAACTTTTCCACCCACCTCTWTATTACATTGATAAACTGATCATCAAACAATAATACTCATGTTTAAATCACTTCAGRTTGTAGCTTCCAGTACAGTTGGTCAGATTTCAAACTGAACCAGCATTGAGATATTTAAAAGTCTGTGAAAAGTGATAAATCTGGGCCAACCTTCAGAAATCCAGACCATTCTTTATAGTGTGACTAGAGCCATGAATGAATGCATAGTGTGATGTTTACTTCTTATGAACTTTGAGAGACAGGAGGTTATTGTTACATGTATTCAATTTTTACCACACTTGTGTAAATTCTTGTGCGCTGATTGGCTGATTAGAGTGTAATAATTTTGGTGAAATACTTCTTAAGGCATAAGATAACTTTATTCCAAACATTTTGCCTTTTCAGGCTTCATCAGTGSATACAACTAGAATGGCTTGTATCCACTGATGAAGCCTGAAAAGGCGAAACGTTTGGAATAAAGTTATTTCACCAAAATTATTATTATTACACAAGGCAAACTACTACTTCTCTTTGATTAGAGTGTGTCAATAAGAGGACTGCGCACTGTGCTGACACCATCATGCCTCGTGTATGCGCTCAATTGAAAGGAAAGACTTATTTTTGCTAATATTTAGACTAAAAATTTGATAAAAAACAAACTGTGCACGGTTTTTCACTGTATGTCCTCTTATTGACACACTCTTGACGTCATAAAATGTTCAAAACTTTGCACTTTGCACTTGAGTTTTGAACATTTTATGACATCAAGAGTGTGTCAATAAGAGGACATACAACTCAAAACTGTGCACAATTTGTTAAAGATTTACCTGCTTTTTTCCACACCAATAACTCTTCAAAAATGGAAAGTACCAAGGCTGGGGTGTCCCATACTCTCCAGGGAATACAGCTTCCACGTACCATGTAATAACACCATATAAAAAGCTGTCRGCAATAAACATCAGAAACACATAACCTAGTGTCATGCTATCATCCACAGAAACTCCTTTGTATAAGTTCGACCATTGAACACCAGATCCTTGTCCTTCAAACTTACCAATCAGCATTGAGCCRATTGCCATATTGCAATTGGATATCAARCATGTCGCAAGCTTCACTCCAAGGGACATGGTGTCGTAACTCTGGGACACAAAGTAGTATGGCATGTAGGAGAAGAACCATATGATACCTCCACCAGCTGTTGCAATGCTTGCCTTTTTGAAGAACACACTCACCATGAAACAAAACATGATGGAAGAGATGATGTATAGAAGAAGGAAAAGAAAAATAATGCTGGGATCACTTTTGTTCAAGACTTTTCCATTGGAAGAGAATTTGATGGTAAAAAGAGCACTACCAAAGATGACTGTTATGAGTAGGAAGAGAAAGAATTTGGTGAACCAGGCGACCCAATGTAGCCATCCACTTAGACCCATCATCTTCATTGACTCCTGGTGATAATAATTGATTATTTTATTTCATTATATAATTATAATTGTCAACAATTCAAAATTCCTAAAAATATGGAATTGTTCTAATTGTTTAAGTTGCTATCTTTTAAGGATTAAAACCTTATGTTGCCAGGATCAGTTTCTTAAGACTCTGGTATCTTTAAGAGGAATTCTTTTTATATTTCCAACCACAACTCACTAAATTATATATACAAAATATTAAATTAATGAAAAAGTGTGCATGTACCTTTAGTTTTCGTTCTTTTTCAACTACAATATCGCGAGTAATGTACAAAGCTGTGACAGTCAAGGACAGCATCAATAACAATGGCAACGTTTGCTGGATAACAAGGATGAAGTTATCCTTAATATAATCTGGATATGGGAACCGATTCATGATGACATCAACAGAAAAAGAAACATTTTTATATCTGAGGATTGCTCCATCGACTGCATTTTGAATAGCAAGGAACCCTTCGCCATAATAATCAGGGGGACCCCCATGGGATGAATTCTTGTTCCTTGGTCCAGGAAGCTGAAAAACATTGAAGGTAAACTGGGTTTGCCATGCAGTTGAAGCACCACCACCAAGCGTTTYCTTTTTATTGTTTTTGCTATTTCTTGACCTTGAGCTCAAGCGAATCTTATAAGAAATGTCAGCCTGATCAAGAGTAGTTTGGAATACAATGCCACCTAAATACTTGGACTTCATATCTCCTTCATTGCGCAGGAAGTCAACCATATCTGTCTCGCTTTCAAACCCACGCATGCCGTTAAATGTAAGAGTCCTAGTGACATCATCCATTACTTTAGTGACTTYGGAATTGTTAGGGGCATAGGCAAGCAATAGGGTGTTTCCATCCAGACCTTCTGGTAATGATGAGATTGTAAAGGGTTTGTATAAGGTCTTGGTYTCTGGAACATCTTTGATTTTCAGAGCTCGCAGTAAAACAAGAATAAGGATGAAGAACAAAGGTAAAAATATTTCAAAAACAGTTCTCCAAGGTGACCTCTTTCCCAAAGTCCAGTTCTTCCACAGTAAGAGATAAAACTGTCTAAATTTGGCCATTTCTATGAACTATGAAGTGCTTCAAGAAATCTCCTGTATTTAAAATAAATGAAAGTATTCAGAGGGAAACAATATTAGCAGGTTTAATACTAGAACACACGTTTTTACAAAGATTACGGACGTTACGGGATGCGCTACAGCACAAGTAAGTTATAGTTTAAAGATGCGCTACAGTAAGAATAAGTTATAGCCGTCAAACAAAAAGCCGCAAAAATTGTTCATTTGTTTCATAGATGCAAGTAAACTAGGTCATTTCTTAACTTTTATGTGCAGTTCATCGCCTTTTTGCATTACCTGATTACATTCAGTGTTGGTTTCTTTCAGTATTAAAGCTAAGTCATCCTCAAAGTTCCGGCTTCTAACCATGTATGGCCCACATGAGCTTGTCACGAGATACAGCTAGCTATAGCACAGGGAGCCCAAGCAGTTCAAAGTCACTGCTTGGGCTCCCTGTGGCTACAGCAAATTCTACTTACKGGGGTGAGGTTCAGGTGAGTAAAAAAATTAACTTAAGCTTTTTTTTAAGCCATTCCCTCAAAAAATATCACAAATTTTAATCATTATCATTTCCAGAAAAATACAAAAAATGTTAAACTTTGGTATAGGATAAAACAGAATTCACTAGAACTCATAATATGAAACATTTTTCGACTCTCCCGTCCCCTCTCCTACTAGAAATAATGTCAAGAATATGCTTGACTGAGCATCCAAGCCTTTTTGATTAATTCAAAATGGCGGCTTGCATGGMACGGATTTTGCTACGGAAAAAAATCATTCCAAAATTAAGTTTTAGCAATTATTTTATGAAACATTCCACAGCAGCTGAATTTAAAACCATTTATTTGTCGTCCAGTATCATTTCCAGTAGATGTTATTCTTCCCAAAGCCCAAGAAATGGTCAAGAAAACGAAGACACGACCAAGAAAAGCAAAGATATAGTGATGTTAAAAACGCAAGGTCTCTTCGGTTGGCTGTCGAAAAAAGTCCATATGTTCCTTCTTAAAGCTTATTTTGACCCAGAATTTGACGAGAACGAATTTATACGTGGCGCAAAGCAAGCACTTGTTGTAGCATCGGAAATAATTGCCGAAAAGAGATTTGATGATATGTACAAAATCTGCCAACCAAGGCTTATAGATGTTATTAAAGACGCCTCACGGACACAAGACCTAGGCCCAGCCGTAAAGGAAGCTGACATTATGATGGCTAAAATAAAAGAAATACAATTAGATTATACAGAAGAAAAGACAAAGCAAATTAAAATTGATGTGACATTTGCGTGCCGTCCCAAASATCTAGGACCTGTTGAGCAAGTAATAGGAAATGTAAAGATCATTTTTGTCAAGCAGCCAAGGATCGTTGAGTATCGCTTCCGTAAGCTCTGTGTGCCAGATGAAGATAGTTGGCTCATTGACGGTGTTGGTATTCCATGATATCCTAATATATATCTGGGGATAAGTGGGGGAATGAAAGAGAAAAATGTCAAGATAACCCATTTATTTTTAAGAATTGAAAATGGGATTTACAAATATTTTAAGATTTGTTTTAAGATTTTTACATAAATCAAATCAAAAATCTTGTYGTAGACATGCTGTTGTAACCTGAGTATCAGGCCTYGGAGGGGGTCTGGAGAGAGGGAAAGTGAAAGGGCAAAATGAAGGGCTCTACCTTTTTCTCTTCTCCATTTTTTTCTCTCAGAGAGACTGATACTGAGGTTAAATCTGTTGGAGTTAGATTTGGTTTGCTATTACAGTGCRAATTGAAAAACCATGGGCRCCTAGAAATATTTCAGGWATGTTCATTGTTCATTGACCAATCAGAAGCAAGATTAACCGTCATCAAGTGCATTTTTACGTGCAAATTGAATCAAAACTTCAACGTTACAATTAATTATTTTTTAAATAATTAGTTTATCACCAAAAAACGGCCTATAAAAGCTCACAAATAGTACAATTTCGTTGTTTAGAATAAACACAAAGTTTGTCCATTTATGTTTTCTTCATGTTTTCTTATTTGTCAGCTTAAGTCAGGTTTCAAGTACACATTCCCGAAATATTTCTAGGCGGTCATGKTTTTTCGATTCGCACTGTAAATTATACCAAGGATTATTATAATAGAATGGACCAAGTTACATACTTATGCCAAGCACATTTTTAAACCATTGCTAATTGGGATTTGAACAACCTGGCCCACGTTGAAAGAAGTAGTTGGGTTCAAAAAGGCTACATACATTGTCAGCACCTGAAAAGGACCATGGGATAGCAAATGATGCTTTTTTCTAATGTCATGGACCTATAACTGTGTTTCTGTGCCAAATGATTTCCTGCTTTGAATAAGAATGACCTGTGAGTAAAGCAAATACGGTCGCATATATTAGGCAAATATGAATTGAATGTTGAGTACCTACAGTTTAGTTTAGTTTAARTTTAGTTTAATGAGGTTTGTCACTAAATACAACATACTAAACAAACAAAAATGCGACAGGAGGAGAAAGTGGTGAAAAATATAATATAATAAACTAAATAAAATACGAGAATTATGGTGGTCGGTATAGATCTAGTTTGGCCTTGTACAATCCCTTTCTTTAGTTGATATCAACCTTCTTGTGACCTGACAATGTTTTTTTCAATTAGGTTAATACTAAACATGGTTTACATTGCTATGTGACCAACTTACCTAGACAAAAGTTGGAGCTTAAATTTGAAAATATTTGGCACAAGTAACACAAGTACAAATAAGCCTAATATTTTATTGACTGGCAAACTAAGTCAATATATAAGTATATTGACATATGGATAATTATTGTAATTATTATTATTCTTGAAAGTAATTCTTAATGGCATGCGAAGAGAATCACTTAATTGCTTGTAAACTTGGTAGCAGTGTTTTACAAATATTTTTCAACAAATTAAAATTGAATGATGAAACATTTCTTTTTTTTTTACGTGGATCTTGCGTATTTATGGTATTTGGCACCAAGCAAAATAAAAGCTTGTATTAGCCATATCTGGTGAAATTATTGAGCTGGAAATAGCTCAAAAGCTAAGATATCGTGCATGAATTTTTGACCAAATTATAACCAACATAAAGAAATAATTTAGTTGTCTGAAAATTATTTGTTTCAATTTAAAGCTGATCAAATTAATTTTGATGAGGCACATTAACATTTGCTAGCTATGCACAATATTTTATGATATTAAATATGCGATGCATGCATAACTGGTTCGGATTATTGTTGCCTAGTTATGCATGACAGCTTCTTGAAACAACACCCCTTGCTTTCACTTTATATCTCCTGACAAGTACAAATAAATTATAAATAAGGAATGTAAATGGTGTAGATATGTTTAAATGTATAACATGGCTTAACCAATAAGATCTTAATAACCTGGGRAGATAAGTACTACCCAATTTACACCTATATATAGCACTTAAATCCGGGGTCAGTGTGACGTCACACCAGTCATCGATCAAGTGGTTCATTCMAACATAAAGGATGTGACTTTGCATAGGCTATAAATTATTCTGAAGTATTTGCCGTATAATATTCSGCTACGTTATCGTTCAATTTGCTTATAAGTTGATCGTATTTTATGGCTACAGCCTATCTTCAGAATGGTCCGTCGAGGAGGCAAACCGGCGAACCCTTCGATATGGCGTGCAAGGTAAACTACCGTAAAAAGAGCAGTTCMTTCACAAACTATAAGMTTATTTAGAGATAAAAATGTGAATTACCATGTAGATTTTACAGATAAAAGACCAGTTATTAATCCATTTTTACTTGGGGTTTTATTTGGCCAGTGGTGATGTTTAGATCTCCAAGGGATTCGATGTTAACAAATGTCTCGACGGTGTCGAATTCAACACAATCGTGTTCAAATAGAATAAAAGTGTTCATTCTTACAACTGCTTAAATTAAAAATATCAAATGTTGTTCTTGTTTATAAACGGCGTTTTGTACACACAACAAGCCCAGTTAAGGTATCTGTCAGCAAGCAATAAACAGTGTTGTCTAACTGTCAAGCGAGTTTGAATTTCACTTTGTGTACAGCAAAAATGGCACAACCAAGAGCGAAGTTTTTGAGGATTATTAAATAAACAGTGTTATAATAAAGCCAATCAACTTAATCTTATATTTTTTATGGTTTGTGTTCTAAAGGTTATGCTATTAGGAGACTCTGGTGTTGGAAAAACATGTCTATTAGTTAGATTCAAAGACGGAGCCTTTTTATCTGGTTCGTTCATATCAACAGTTGGAATTGATTACAAGGTAACTAACTTATCATATCCTAACAACTCGTAAAAAGTTTTTGCTAATCTTTGAATAAAGCTATTGTTAACCTTGAAACAAAGAAATAGTATAAACCACCGAGGAGTTTTGTTTTTCAACCATTATAGGAGTGAATAATTTGGATGCCAACAACAACGATAAGGAATGTTTATAATTTTCCTCTTTGTCTTGTCACAGAATAAAATAGTGGAACTTGAAGGATCAAAAATAAAACTGCAGGTAATTAAGTTTCGCTTTATRTTAAAGATTATGCAACATAAAACCACAAGGAATACAGTATGTTATGTTTCTTGAGGGGGTAAAATTTTATTATAATTTATTAATTCATTCATATTGGGAATAAATTTTCTTAAAGTTTCATTTTCTTTGAAAGGATAATAGTGTTATTATTAGATGTGTGAGCTTTGATATCAGAGTCTTCAGTCTGCACAATCCTTGATATTATACACAACTTTGACCAATATCATACTCAGTCTCAAACATAATTCTTCATATCAAACTCAGCCTTGGCCAATAATTCTTCATATTATAATTACATGTGTAGCCTCTACCAATAATTTTTCATATCATACTCAGGTTTAATTGTTATAATTAGTTAAAAGTTAATTTAGCACTAAATAAATTATTTGAAAAAAATTGCGGGCCTGCAAAATGTATTAATATGTATGATWTGAATAACAATCTCAATGAGAAAAAAAGCTAATTCCATGTTAAGAATACTTGAACCATTTGCTTACAAACATTTAATGTCACTAGGAGACAAATAATGCATTCAAAGCATCCATAATGAATTATGATTGAGTAAACAAAAGGTTATATCCAACTGAATATTGCAAAGTTGTTGTCGTTTTTTTTTGTTGTTGTTTTGCTTATTAATGGTAAGTAAGCATTTATTTAATATTGGATTTTTAGATAATGTTTGTGTGCACAGTATTTTTCATAAACCCTTGAGATGACACTAAATTGTAATATATATTAAGTTAATAATTTTCCAAGATTTCTTTGTTTTTTTTTTCTTCTGTTTTTTTTTTATCACACAACATCATACATTGGTTATCAAGAAACTTAAATTTCTGGCTACATGGCTACAATGTTCTCTTATCAATAAAAGACTTAATCTAAAGACTATTTTTATAATCATATAATTTAAGTATATTGTTTTTTTTAAGATCTGGGATACAGCTGGTCAAGAAAGATTTCGAAGTATAACTCATGCTTATTACCGCGATTCACATGGTAAAACTATTTTATTCTTCAACTTAGACTCCTTGGCAGGCTACTCCTGCCAGTGGAAACACACTATTTGACTTAACTAACACAGGAATCCCATAGAACAGAGTTGTATGAGAATGAGGCTATAGAAATTCATGAATGGCTTTATTTACATACAAAGAAGCCAGAAATATTTTGTAGTTAACATTTTTGAATGAAGCTTAACCTGAATTCCAATGTGTTAAYTATTAAAATCCAACTTTTCTATGACCAGACTCATTATAGTTTTAATATTGATGTAAGTATTATAATTGGAGTTTAAAG